CTTTCTTTCTTTCTTTCTTTCTTTCTTTCTTTCTTTCTTCCTTCCTTTCTTTCTCTTTCTCTCTCTGTGTGAGTCTGTCTGTCTGTTTGTCTGTCTTTGTGTGTGTGTGTGTGTGTGTGTATGTGTGTGTCTCAGTGGGGGGCTTCAATTTTTTTTAGAACCTCTTCTGTAGGTGTGGCCTGCTTTCCGGGTCCACTGGTGGAACCTCTTCTAACTGGTTCGGTAGATTTGATGAACCGGTTCTACCAAACTGGTGCGAACCGGTAGGAACCCACCTCTGCCTGTTATATGCCATTCATAATGATATCTTAACAAAATCACAAGTTATGTTTAGCTACCGTGTTTCCCCGAAAATAAGACAGGGTCTTATTTTTATTGAAACACCCCCCTCCCCTGAAATAAGCACTTGGCCTTATTTTTGGGAGGTCTTATTATTTTGGAGGTGCAGGAAGCAGCAAGTGTGGTCACCGCATGGCTGCTGCTGTGTTGCAATATTTTTGGAGAGGGCTTATTTTGGGGGGAGGGCTTATTTTAGTGCATGCGCTCAAAAGCCCAATTGGGCTTATTATCCAGGGAGGTCTTATTTTCAGGGAAACAGGGTATCAGCTAAAAAAAGCCTTCGGTCTAAAAATGTTGACTGTCATGCCTTAAAAGTGGCTGTCACTTATGCTTAACTTATTAAATGAAAAGAAGGCAAGCTTTTGCATTCTCTCCACCTCTTTGTCTATCTAACAATACCATTTTCCCCAGGCTCTATGAGCTTTGGAGTGTATTGAGGACAAGCAGCAACCATCTCTTTTCATCAGTCAGCATTCCAATTAATGTCTAATATGTATAAAATATGATAATTGTGTGGACAAAGTTCAGAACTGGACGATTCTATTTACTCACTGCTTTTCTGCAGGGCGCTTTGATCGAGAAATTGACATTGGAATTCCAGATTCAGTGGGAAGACTAGAAATCTTACAGATACATACCAAGAACATGAAACTGGCTGATGATGTGGACCTGGAGAAGGTAATGATAAGCAAAATTGCACTTCATTCAGCTTATTCTATGAATTGGGGCCGCATATCTAAATATCTACTGTACAAAAAATCAAGATTTCTTGTTAGTAGCAATAACTTTTCTTGGTAATTTTATTCAGAAGGCACTCAGGTTGCAGTTTCTTTTGACTGAGTTTCTTGATAATGGACATGTAAGACTAGCTACATATCTGAACATTGTTACTTATATCTTTTATTTTGGGATCAATTAGTAAATTGTAAAAGTTACATTGTTAACAACTGCCAGCACAAATTGCTTCCATTAATACAATGCAATACAACGGTTCTAACAATTAGAAAACTAAACATACAACTGTCTTGGATTCTGGGACTAAGGCCATGATTACATTAGCTTGATTAGGGTACACAGCCAAATGAGTATCTCATTAAGAAGTTAGCTGGAGTCAAAATTGGGTTATGGGAATCAGGAAAGAAACATTCAAACAAAATTGCAGAAGGATGGGATATCAGAGGTGCCTCATCACTCTTATATTGCTACATTATTTTGCAAAAAATAAAGAGCGAGAAGAATGGAAAGATAGAGATCCAGACATGCTATTTTAAGGAGAAGTCACAGATTAAATTACAGCAGCTGCAAATTTCACATAAGCTGGACCATTGCCTTTCACAGTTGTGATTTCTCCCCCACCCTACTCTTAAAATAAAGAGTACCGCTATAATCAAAGAGCCATTTTCTCTTTGAATTTTTAACGGGAGAATTCCAGGATATTTAAGAGCTACAAGTGGGATGTTGAAGCGCCCAACCTGTGGAACATCATCCCCCCACCCCTTTCCCCATGCAGTTGGCCCAACACACTTGGTGTTCCATAGGGTGCTTAAACATGATTTTGTCAACTAGCTTGGGCATCCCATGATAGAGTGGTGCTAGTTAGATAGTTGTACGATGGCTAGTGGAACGCACTCTGTGAACCTTTTCCTGCCATTTTATAAATTTGTTTTTATCTGGTTTTAATTTTAATTTTAATTAATTGTTTGGGTGCCTTTTATATTCCGTTTATATAGTCGATATACCTTATACCTTGGATTATTATTATGCATTCCACCCAGAGTTACTAGGAGATTAGGTGTTATACAAATGTGATCAAATAAATACTGGGAAGAACCCAGGTAGGCAGTGTTTGTGTGTGTGTGTTTGTGTGTGTGTGTGTGTGTGTCCCTATTTTCCCCCATTAAATGCTCTGATTTACCTGGACTGTGGTTGCAGGTGGGCAATGAGACCCATGGTCATGTGGGTGCTGATCTGGCAGCATTGTGTTCCGAGGCAGCACTCCAAGCAATCCGTAAGAAGATGAGTGTCATTGACCTGGAGGACGATACAATTGATGCTGACATCCTTAATGCTATGGCTGTCACCATGGATGATTTCCAGGTAGGCTGGTTCTGGGCATCCAACAGCTACATCGTTTTTCTATAACAATTTACTTTTGCTACTTAGTTCCTGTCAACACAGCCCAATTCCTCAGAAAAACTAATCCCAGAACACCCTGCTCCAAATACGGAGAAGATTGCAGTCTTACTTCTCTAGCTCCTTCTTTCAGTGTTACTGATTTATTACATTTCTGCTTTTTAACACAGATTTAAAAACTCATTGCAGACAAATGGACTCAACATTTTTCTAAGTGTGCACAACGAGATCTTGATTTTTGCAAAGACTGTTTTCTTTATAATTACTAAACAACTTCCAACTGTGTTTGTTCAAAGTGCAGAAGTTTAGGATTTGATTTAATTGGTAGGGTGTGTCTTGTCATTTTTGGGTTGGAATGATTTTGATATTGATGTGTCACATCTGTAGCAGGCATATGCATGGTTCTTCTGCTATGCACGCTATCATATATTTTGATTATAATAGTAAAATGTAATACAAACTAAATGAAAGAAAAGAGAGAGGAGTAAAGAATGCAGGAAAAAGAAAGAAGAAAGAGAAAAGTAAGAATGTAGTAAAAACACTACTTTTCCACTATATCTTTTCTCCCATCTTTTTGAAACAATGTTTAGAACTGTAGAGTCATTTTTGAACAGTAATTACCAGCTCTAAATCTCAACAGTTTCCTGATTCCCTTGACCTGAATTAGTTATAACTTTGAAACCAATGCTTTTGTGACTTGCCTGCTGAGTCAGATGTAGTCTATGTAAGTGGACGTGATATTCCATATTTATTTTCTGATCTGAAGGGTGCTTATTCTCAGGAAGCTTGCGAAGATACCTTCAGTTCTATTAAAGATTTGGTAGCTGGTTTTCATCGGTGTGTATAACTTTCAAAGGCTATAGCTACTGTCATGCTTTTTTTCCTCATCCAATTTGCAGTACTTCCTTCTTCCCATAGTTCTCAAACCAAAAGGCAGTAAAGTCTTCATAGCGTCTTCGGGCTCAATGTCTGCTTTTCCCAGACTGGCCTATTTCTATCTTCACATTTCTTTTCAAGAGGAGTGAAAAGTGGAGTTGCTCTCCTCTTTAATAATTTGTCCGGTGATTAATAGTGCCAGTCTGAATCTCAGAAGAATCATATTTAGGTCACACAGGTGCAAAGCTCTCAGTGGTCACCTTTGCCCGCAGCGGAGTTGTGGTGAAAGTTAACAAGTCGTTCAAAATGACTTCAGTTGTACATTACTTCAGTGGACTGAGTATAATTACCAGTCATAAGGAGGTCTGAATAGGGCACAGTGGCTAAGACACTGACCTTGTTGATCAGAAAGTCAGCAGTTCGAATCCCTAGAGCCGCATAATGGAGTGAGCTCCCATTACTTGTCCCAGCTTCTGCCAACCTAGCAGTTTGAAAGCAAGTAAAAATGCAAGTAGAAAAATAGGAACCACCTTTGGTGGGAAGGTAACAGTGTTCCGTGTGCCTTCTGCGTTCAGTCATGCTGGCCACATGACCACGGAGACGTCTTCGGACAACGCTGGCTCTTCGGCTTTGA